TACCAGAAGATGAGGACTGAAAAGCTTGAAATCGAAACCAACGACGATTGACATAGATGAGGAAGTTTGATGACCCTTTTACCTTTTTTTAGGGTTGGACCTTTTTCTAGTATTTTGTCCCCACCTCTTGACAAACTCGTACACAACTCAGCGTTAGTGCCGTCGTTACATTTGATTCTCTCTTCTTACTCATCGTTTATGCTCGTTTGATGTATGTAACACATACACAGAGCATGAATATAGAAAGCATTGAACTTTCTCTTAACCTTCATGATTCTGTAAAGCAGCGTCTTTGAGGTATCCCATGTGTTTCTAAATGGGCTCACGTATGCTAAGAAAGTGCCATCTACATGGGTGTTTGACCATGATTTTAGGCAAAATAACAGGAAGGGTGACCAGTATTAATGCTATATATGGGATGAAAGGTAGGCTAAATGATTTACTGTCACTGCGTAATAACATTGTGAGGAAAAAAAACCATTTGATAGCTTGGCCAAAAATTTGCATCAAAACCTTAACCTATTGGACAAAGAAATTACCATAATTTAAAGGATAATGATACACACATCATATGAAAGATAAGCTTAGGATTGACGTCTGGGGGATAGGATTCTTTTAGGAGATGGCCCTATGTTATTATTTTGTCCCTATCAAGAAATATGAGCATTTTGAATTTCAACAATACAATACATATTTATAAGTTGAAGAAAGCGTAAACAAAAGTTTCTTTCTAGATAATGATACAATTCAATATTATTTGCCAAAGACCATATAGCTTTGGAAAAGGTTTTTCAATCGTACCACTTTCCCGTAGCTATCAGATCCAACTTTACCCTCATGAACAAACTCATTAACTGTTTTGTTTCCATCTTGATCCTGTAAATAAAATAAGAAATCAATTGGCATAAGCAAACAAAAGAATATCAAGCAAAATGAGTTTCTTTGGTAAAGCATTCTAGACATGGACAGAAGTTGCGTATAAGTTTATTAGTTTCCTTGACTGGAAACTGCCTGCAAATAAGTCCATATGTAATCTGTATTTCAAAATTTCTCAATATCTTTTGGAATGGCTTCTGCCTGATAACATCACTGTCATAGGAATATGTAGCATCATATTAGAACATCAGTCTTTTGAATAGGAGAATAAAGTACATATATCCTTAATATAAGAAGGAAGAAAAGGTCGCAATTGGCAACCTCCAAAACAAACAAAGGAAACCCTGAAATTGAAACCAACGGACTGTTAATACAAATGAGGAAGAGTCATTTGAAGGATAGCTGCACATGTTTTTTTTACCTTGTTTCTTCGTCGGATCGCTCCGCTCCGATCGCATCTTCTCTTTTCATTCTCTCAGCTTATTCATCAACTATGCTTCGTCTTTGATTTCCCTGCCTCGACTTCTCTTTTTGTTTGAAACATTAGGTTTTCCGTTTTCGTTCTTCCGAGGGTGGAATTGAAAGGGAGCAACAGAAATTTGAAGGAGACGAAACAAAATCTGCAAGAGAATCGAAAATTAATGTGTAACAGAGGGGAGTCGAAGAATTTAGGGAAGGAGGAAGTTTCATCGTCATGAAAAAGAATGTAATTGAGTTTCTGATTTATGTGACGTGGCAAATTCTGTGTGTTTTGGAGGAAGATTTATTTGGCCGAGACTAATTTGGATGACGTGGTAGCTTTAGAATATACTTTCAATAAGTTGACGTGGATAGCTTAAAGAGTTTTAAACAGTTCCTTTTAGTTAGTATAATATAATATTTATCCCAAAACTAGATGAGTTCGATTCATCTTTGTAACCGTTGCATTAATAAAATGCATATTAATTAGAAGAAAAAGAAGACGGGCTTATGTGATCGGAAACAAAAGGCAGAGAAGAAATTGGTAAAAAAACTAAAAATAAACAATTGGGTTTGTATTGGTACGATTATCTTGGAGAGTTTTCCTCAATATTTTGGGGTCTTTTAAGTGACTAGTTTTAAAAATGGGGATTGTTTTGCTAACTAATAAACCGAAAGGTCTTTATATGAGATATTTAATTTTATATTACCAAATAGGGTTTTCTCATTTGACCCCCAATTTGAGTAGAATCACAGTCGCAATGAAGAAGCTCCGAGTAGAACCACCGGAGAAG